GTGTCAATGGGTGTATGTTTGTATATACGTTTGTATGTATGAGTGTGTGTGTGTGTGTGTGTGTGCGTGTCAAAAATTAAATCGTCTTTTAAAAGTATTAAGCGAGGTGTCTCAATGATCAATCGCGTCCATCCATACATAACGCCCATGTTGATGATGATTAGGATGGTAGTGTTGATGATGATGACGATTATTATTATTTTTATTATTATTATTATTATTATTATTAAATCATTATTATTATTATTAAATTCTAAAAATATATTTTTCATCAGCCAAATAAAATAAAAATTCCTTCAAGACATCAGAAAAACAACAAATAAAAATCAGCAATGGCTGTTCTTCACCGACAACAATAACAAAAACCGATTCTCAACAGCGAGTATTTCAAAAAGGATGTACCGGTTACTATTCGTTATACCGACGGCGTTGATATCGGTATTGTTAGTTGAGTATACGAACTCGGTATTGAATACAAAATACCAGCAACCATTGAAATTTTACGTATTTGAAGAATCGGCAGAAAATATTTTTGTTGGGTGCGTAAGAGTTGAAGCTGAAACAACGCTGCTAGGATTTGCATCGGCCAAAAATACTGACCAACAACAACATTATCAACGACGCCAACAACAGCAACAACAACATTACTATTACAAGCATCAACAACATCATCAGCAACAACAACAACAACAACAACAACAACATCACGCTGATTCGTTGAAACATTTAACATTTTCATTTTTGAAAAATCCTAGTCAAAAGTACTTCAAATTAAACCGAATTACAGGAGACATTAGAACTACATCTATAAGACTTGATCGAGACCGAATCTGTCCACAAAAGGCAATTTTTTTTTCAATATTTTCATTTCTCTCAAGTGAATATTTATATAAACCACAACGACTAACGCTTCAGAATACTGTGAACAAGTTTTTAAATTGATTAATTTTATTTTTTTCATTTTATTCAAAATTTGTCTTCTACGATATCATTATATAATCGCTCTTTGAAACGCTTAGACTAATAACAACTAATTAATATTCAAAAATAAATTAGATTAACGTGTTCATAACTCCGCCTTCAACAGCCAACATGTAGTCTAGACATGGACGTGGTCATCTACGATAACTCCTCCCCACAGGCCATGCTAAAAATAACCATAAACATCGAAGATATCAACGACAATCCGCCATTTTTTCCCCAACTTTACACCAATCTCAATATTTCGGAATCAGCGTTGCCTGGAGTCTTCGCCACTCTAGAGCCAGCCACTGATGTTGACAGTCCGAAGTTTGGCATCAATAAATACTACCTCGCCGACAATGCTATCTTTGATATCAACTTATCTGTAAAAATCAACAACAATAACAACAACAACAACAACAACAATAACAACAACAACAATGGCCTCATAGAGATCTCACTAAAAGGCAGTTTGGACCGCGAGTTAAAACCCTTTCACGAGATAGAGTTAATAGCGTTCGACGCATTCATGCCAACATTATCTAGCAGTACCTTAATACGCGTCCAGGTTGGATCCCACGCAGTGGCGGATCTATGGAAAACTTTGACGAGGGACCGAAATTGTAAAATAGTTTAAATTTTGACGGGGGGCCAAAAATCTACCGTAAAATTTTTTGTAGAGTGGCCAGAAATACCTGGTTCCCGATAGATCCGCCACTTGTCCCATAATAACATTTTTTACTATTTCTGTTATTTATATTATTTTTATTTTTTCTCTTAATAATTGTTCCTTTGTTTGGGCGGAGTTTAATTGTTAGAAATTACGCTGAAATTCAATA